GCCTTCAGGCGCCTTGGAGAATAGCTTGACTCCCTCTTCTTTGTGGCAGCCCCTGAGATATTGGAACACTGCTATCATGTCCCCCCTCGTCCTTCTCTTCATTAAACTAGACATACCCAATTCCAGCAGCCGTTCCTTATATGCTTTAGCCTCCAGTCCCCTAATCATCTTTGTTGCTCTTCTCTGTACTCTTTCTAGACTGTCTCAATATCTTTTTTACATCGTGGTGACCAAAACTGGATGCAGTATTCCAAGTGTGGCCTTACCAAGACATTGTAAAGTGGTATTAATACTTCATGTGATCTTGATTCTATCCCTCTGTTTGTCTTTTACAGATGTGGTACCCACGCCTCCTGATGGTCCACCCATCATAGCAGCTGTCACTGGCAGAGGTGTCACACTGAAATGGAACGCGCCAAAGTGGCTGGATTCAGCTATTGGTAGGCAGGGACAGGAAGACAACAGGGATGCAAAGGGAAAATTTTACTCCCAAATTCTACTGTTCTAGAGTCTCTAGTGGATTTTCAAAGACAGGCCATAAAATATGCTGAGGAAACAGGTGGTTGTTCCTGGGCACTTGTGTGAACAATCTGTGGTATTCTTTGTGACAAAGATCCCCACTAATTGATAGCTGCCATTGAGGTGTGTTTTGCATCCCTCTCAACCTGCTGATAGGGAAAGGGCATTACTCAGCAGCATTAAATTGGCAAATATGTCCATATCAGAAATGAGTAGTTTTTGCTCTCCAAAATCATGCCTTCGGCAAAGTAAAATCTTGGTAATAGTCTAGTCTTTGCTAGACATGAACCTTTCAAGAAATTTATGGGCAAGGGCAATCTAACGGGTCCTGTGCATTTGGACTTAGAAAAAGCTTTTGATAAGGTTCATCACCAAGGGTTCCTTTCAGATTCAGCAGCAGTCCTGGCTTACAAGGACAGGATATATGTTGGTAGCTATATAGTTTGCTTAGAAATGAACTGAAATTAGAAGTTGAGTAGCACAGCAGTCAGGTTTGCTAATGAAACAAAACCATTCAGCATAATAAAATCAAAGCAGGATTGCAAACAATGTCTGAAGGATTTTTCTAAACTTGAGAAATGCAGATCAAAATAACAAAAACAGTTCAATGTAAAAAAAAGTGTCAAGGAGTAGATATTGGTGGGAAGAAAAAAATAAATCAAACTTCCTGGATATATTAATGGGATGTGAACTGTCTCTGATTGATCAGGAAAAGGATTCTGGGAATCAGAGTAGAAAATGTCTGCCTTGTGCAAGGATGCTTTAAGAAAAACACAAACTCCCTGCTTTGAATGATTAAGAGGAATGCATATAAGGCAGCCAAGAGAGCATTGCTCTTCTTTAATGTATAGCAGCACTGCCTTAGATGAAGTTCCTGTCGCCTTACTTAATTGGAAAAGTACAAAAAGAAATGACGCACAGAATGATTAATGTTTAAAACCCAGGCCTAGATATTTCACCACCACCAAAGCCAACTGGGCATGACTACAGAGAAAATAGAACAACCACAGACCAGCACCTCCCATTCCCAGCCCCCTAAGCTGATCCAGAAATATACCATGATTTTATGTTTGTTCACCACTTAGAAACACTGGTTTGAGATAGGCAGCAAGGCCATTGAGAGATCCAGCAGGGCTAAGATCTGTGCACCACTTCCATCCCGGGTTCCCAAAAGTCATCCACATAGATATCACAGTGTACTATAACCTGGCTTGAGCCCTGACTGAAAAGAATCCAGAAAATCATCTTCCTGTTTGGAGTGAGTAAACTTTCTCTAAAAAGGGAAGATTGGAAAGTGGATGAAAATTACACAGTGCAGGACAAGTTGGGTTAAAGAAAGGCCTCGAGAAGGAGGCAGGCCACTGCTTTCTTCAAGACAGGAAGAATCACCCTCTCTTCCAAAGAGGCATTAACCAATACTTGCATCCAACCACATGCCACATCTCAGAAGGCCTTGACCAGCCAAGATAACACGGGTCCAGAGCACAGGTGGCCAAGCTCGCTGTCTGTGGATCCTATTCACTTCCTCAGGACCAACCAGCTGAGACTTTGCCAAGATAACCAAGCAAAGATATGCCTCAGTTATTTCCATAGATCCAGCTGGCTGAAGTCCCTCTCAGAGAACAGATGTCTAAGGGAAATACGATAGACGTATTAAAAAATCATGAAAAAGCATAAAGTATGTGGATAGTTTTGCCCCTCTTTCATAATGACAGAAGTGAGAATTTCCCATTAAAACTGAATGGCAGGGAGTTTCAGGATCAACAATTCTTATTATACATAATGCATAGCTGAACTGGAATTCACTGCCATCAGATATTTAGATAGTTTTAAAAGGGAACTGGAGAAATTCTTTGTGGATTGGACTATCGGTGGTACCTTAGTTTTCTGCACTAGACAGCAAGTGGACTAATCCAGGAGACCTTCCTTACCTTGTTACGAAATTTGTGGCCTGTACCAAGTGGCATAAATTAAGTTCATTTGCAATATTTATATTATTTCATACATTTTTCTGCGGTTAACACTGTTGTCCATTATTTATTTATGTTCTGCTTGTTATAGGAATGGGTAGGGCTGGCTAATAAATCTTATGAGCAAAAATCTTGTTCAGCTATCCTAATATTTCAGTAGGCATTTACATATTTCTAAACCTACCTTTATAGTCTGTAGTCTAAACTTGGTTTTTTTTACCAAAAGCTGGGGTTCATAACGATCTAAAAGTGCTCTTTAGGGGAAGGGAAACACTTTATACAGAATATGCATTGTATAGTTTCTCTCATGCACTGCCATATAATAATAATAGTAAAGTTGGAAGGGACCTTGGAGGTCATCTGGTCCAATATTGCAGACTGTGGCAGGTTCCTACTACTCATGAAATGTTAATCTATCTCAGCGGTTCTCAATCTATGGGTCGCGACCCCATTTGGGGTCGATCGACCATTTCACGGGGGTCGCCAAGCAAGGCTGTCCGCCATTTTTTTCCCTTTTCCGGTGGGTGCCTTACCTCCCTTGAGCTGGGCCAGCTGGTGGTCGGCCTGCTCCGTCTCTGCCGCTTGCCAGCTACGCCTTGGCCGGCGCAGGGGGTGCAACCACGCATGCGCGGCAGGGAAAGTCCTCGACTTACGACCGGTTGGGTAGTCCTCGACTTACGACTGGTTTAGTCCTCGACTTACGACTGGTTTAGTCCTCGACTTACGACCAGTTGGGGGTCGCGGCATTAAAAAGGTTGAGAACCACTGATCTATCTTGTGTGTTCCTGTGATCAAGTCCAGAATGCTCTCATTTACGAGTCTTAGCTCACCGGCATTTTCCTTCCTCTATTCTTAGACCCTGCCTCTGTCACCTATATTCTCCAGCAGCAGATCCTGGGGTCCAGCCACTGGACTGTTGTTACTACAGGCTTGCATCAAACCAGCCACACCATTCTGGCTCTAAAGAAAAACATTTACTATATGTTCCGTGTACTTACAGCAACAGCTAAGGCGAACAGCAAGCCTTCTCCGCCCACAGAACCGGTGCAGCTCCTTGATCATGGTAAGGCACCAAAGGAATAAAGGGCGAGTAAATGGCTATTTTTCATTGTAGAATAAAAACCCTACTAAAAGGACTCCCACTTTCTCCTGGAAGCAAAGACAGCTGAGCTAACAAGATGGCAGTGAACAAAAAACAAGTCTCCTCAATCACCTCTTTCCTTACCCCACTCCTTTTCTCAAATCCTCACCCTTTTCCCAACAGTGCGACCTTTAAAAAGTCCACACAGAGGCAGGAGTGAGCCCAAGTTCACAAAAGAAACCAAAGAAAACAAGCCAATGATTCATGGTCCATGCTGAAGTAACAGGGGAGCCCAAGATTTAAAAAAATGGGACCACTTGGCAAAAGGAAATTGTTCCTTTTCTGCCCCAGAGTAAGTCTGCGGAAGTGGAGCAAAATGTGGGGGAGAGGAAGGAGAAGGGGAAGGGATGGTGAAGAATGGAATTGGGAGGAAGAAGAGGTGTCATTTCATCTGTCGCCAGAATTGTGACTAACAGTAAATTACGTACTGTTGGCTAGGAAGAGGATTTGAACTCAGGAATCACAGCTCCTACACTCTAATGATTACCCAATAAATGTCTTTTTAGAACCGGGAGGATCAAAGGCATTTATAACAATTGAAGAAAAATGTATGTTTCTACTTCTTCATTTTTTTTTCCTCAGATGTGTTTGTAGCTAGCCTAAAAGATTTTGAACAAGTTCCAGTTCAGAAGAATTCACAGTTACTTCAGATTTCACTCAAAAGACTGTGAACACCTTCTTCAGAGAAACTTGCTCTTTGTTCCTTTGTTGAAATATGAAGCTGATGGCAGTACTCAAATAATTTTGAGAACTCTTGCCATCTGAGAGCCTTGGTTTTGTAGAAAAAATTATTAGTAACTGAAGGCTCTAAATCTGTAACCACCATAAGCAATAAAAAAAATGTGTCTGCCTTACCTCAGGTTGGTCTGTTTGAGGATAGAAAGTTTTCTTTCCTAGTTGGGAAGGTGGATTATTTCTATTTGTGGAATTTATTCCTACTGGTAGCTGAATATTAAATTATCAACAGGAGTGGTCAACATTACAAGCAGGAGTTTTTTAGTATGGTAATAGTCCACTGTTTCTAGAATTCTGTCACAAATATATACTGTATAATATTGCTTTTCAAATGGATCTTTGAAAATGTTTTCTTAAAACCGGAGATTCCAAGTGGCACCTTTCAAATGTGTTGGACTACACCTCCCAGAATTCCTAGCCAGTGTCCACCACGTTTGGAATGCGTCATATTAGAAAAAGTTGTGAAGTACATTCTTCTTACAATGCAAGTTTTATATAAGAATTGTAAGAAGTCTTCCCCAGTGCAGTATTTGACTGAGATGCTACCTAAGAATGCCTTTGGTACAATCTGATCTAAGAAAGATAATTCAGGCCCAGGGGCTAAGAAAAAGGAAATACAGGTAATCCTCGACTTGCAACAGTTCATTTAGTGACTGTTCAAAGTTACAACCGCACTGAAAAAAGTGACTTATGACCATTTTTCACACTTACGACCACTGCAGCATCCCCATGGTCAGGTGTTCAGAATTTGAATGCTTGGCAACCGGTTCGTATTTATGATGGTTGCAGAGTCCCGGGATCATGTGATCCCCTTTACGACCATCTGACAATGGGGAAGGCAGATTCACTTAACAACCGTGTTACTAACTTATCAACTGCAGTGATTCATTTAAGAACTGTGGCAAGAAAGGTTATAAAATAGGGCAAAACCCACATAACAAATGTCTCACTTTCATAACAGAAATTTTGGGCTCAGTTGTGATCATAAGTCGAGGACTACCTGCATATGGAAGGGGTATCCAGGGTGAACTTTATTCCTGTTTAATATAGTTCAAGGAAATTTAGCCCCGCGAACTGAGAAGCATGAAATCTCTCCCTGCAGTGATAGTGTAGAATTCCTTGGATCTGTGGCTGGGGCTCTAATGCGATGGGCTGTGTTTCCAGGTCCGTATATGCCGGAGGCCCCTATCATCTTGGACAAGCCAGATGTGGTGTATGCAGTGGAGGCACAGTCGGCTTCCATCACTATAACTCTCAACCATGTTGAAGCTGCTGTCACCTGGAGGAGGTAGGCCAGCCACCCAATGTAATAATAATAATAATAAAGTTGGAAGGGACCTTGGAGGTCATCTAGTCCAACCCCCTGCTCAGGCAGGAAACCCTATACCATTTCGGACAAATAGCTGTCCAGTCTCTTCTTAAAAACTTCCAGTGTTGGAGCATTCACCGCTTCTGGAGGCAGGTTGTTCCACTGGTTAATTGTTCTAACTGTCAGGAAGTTTCTCC